ATTTACCTATGATGCAATGTGAATGACACCGATGGTTGTTTTTTAGTTTTTCGTGTAATCCTGACACAAACTTCTACTTCTAACAACTTCGAGGGGAAATAAAAATGTTTTCCCTCTTTCTCAAATATCTAAAGTACTGATAAAACGATCGTGACCATATGTTTAGAGGATCTTCTTCTGAGCCTCGTTTCCATGCTGAAGCTATTTTTTGCGAAATTTTAAATTAAGAAATCTCACACAAAGCTACTCATTCAGAAAGGTTATCATACAAATTTGAAAACAACTCATGCAGTAGTATCAGCTGATAACACTTAGGTTTTGTCCTTAGGTTTGGTACCGTAAAGTGGTCTGGCCCATGGACTATAACGATAAAAAATCACGAGGTTTCGACTTCTCCGAGGTCATTAAAAAGTGCGAGTAAAAATATATAAAATTAGCATAAATATTTTTCTAAGAGTAAAAATGCTTTAAAATGTCACGAACGATAGAATGCAATAAAATATGCAAGACGTGATGAAACTATTCACGGAGTTAAAAAGAGGACCTAAGACAATGAGACAATAAAACAATACTAATAAGCTTAAAGACTGGTTTCAGAGCTATCTTTCTTAGAGATATCAACGAGTAGCACTACAAGGCACCTATTCCAACTGGTTACAAGTCTTGTCTGGTGTTCCGTAAGGCTCCATATTGGGCCCTCTGCTCTTCCTTGTCTATATAGACGACATTCCTTAATGTATTAAACATTCAGTATTCACTTTGATAAATAATGCCAGATGCTTCGTCTGAAGCTGAAGCAGACCTCTTCAAGTAATAACTTAAAAAGTAAGAAGCCAAATCCTTGACCTTAACGTAACCGAAAAGCGCCGCACCTACTGTATTCACGTTGAAACGTACCCTAACTGTGTATTCAGTTAAGTGCAAACTAAAGGGTTGCACAAAGCTGTTCAGAAAGGTAATCATGGAGTCCAGAAATACAGAAATACTTCAGTTCATCCCGTTGACATTACACAACTAGATACACACAAAAAAATAGGTCCGCAATGCGTTTTATTCCATTCGGTTGGAATGTTGTTTATACATGTTAGTGGGAATTGAATTGCTACAAGTGAGAAGGTAGACAAATCGCTGCAAGTGGGAAATGTGTGGTAAAACACTGTTTACTTACTTTATCCTCTAATTATAATTATTTGTTTTGCTCTTAGTCCCAATGGGACAAAACACAACAACAATCTCTCAATTTAGCCCTATTTTGTGCATTGTCCCATGTGAGTTTTAATTCTCTGAACTCGCTACTGTTTACACATGCCAAGTGAACTTGTACATGTAGTATCAAGATGTTTTGCTACTGTAATGACTAAGCCTGTTTAAATGCATAACAACACCAATAACTGAGTCCCGCGGGGTTGTCAGTTGTTTTTTGAGTTGCGCATTCCATCCAAAAAATGGCGGCTAATGTTTGCGTGAAAACATGCCGCTGAGCGGCTGGGCAAGACGCGCACTGTGCATCGTTTGGGGAGAGTATGGGAGGGGGTCGCCCCCTCCCACTGGGGAAATTTTTGGAAAAAAAATTCCCAGAGATGTAATGTGGGGCTACTTTCACCAAACATTGTGTACATTGTGTAGATTGTCTAGATTATTTTGTGTAGTTTAACATTGTGTAGATTATTTTCCCATTCTTAATAAGTTATTCTCAAATCCAGTGTTCATATAAATGACACAAAAAAATCGCTCCAAAAACAAAGAACCAGAAGATTTCAACAATGAGAGGAAATATTTCATTTAAGTTTCACCTGCCTCACTACTGTTGTTTTTTTTCTTGGTGTTTTCTATTTTTTTCCATTTCTTTTAATTAATTTGATACAATATAAATCACACTTGCACATTGTGTAACTCCACTTCATTGTATTGGTATTTTGTGCATAAGGAGGCAAAAAAAAAAAAAACTTTTGATCTTTTTCTTTTTGGAATTATTTCATAGAAGGTACTATTAAACAATTAGATTATGAGCTCGAGATTTCTATCGCGTCGACTATGACGCATAGAAATCGAGAGCGAGTAATCCTCGCTCTCGATTTTTATGCGTGATAGTTGACTCGGTCTGATTATCTAATTGTTTTAGTATAAATCTACTAGTCGGTCAAAACTTTATCCAAATCTTCTTCACTAATGCTTCGAAAACGCCAAAATGCTTCGAAAACGCTACTCGCTATCTATCACAGAATAGATAGTGAGTTGCGTAGCCAATCAGAGAACGACATTCGTGATAGAACGTTAGTAGATTTATACTGATATCCAATTGTCTTTTTAAAAACTTAAAACCCAGTGAGAAAAGAATCCCATCAAGAGCCCCTAAAAAGAAATTTTGACGGAATCCACCAGAGGTTTGAGTAACAAGTGGACAAAAACCTAGTACCAAGATTATTTACATCGTATTGCAAACTTCTGTACGACTGTTTTAAATATCTTCTCCAAAAAAAATCATTTCTAGCAACACCAAACGTCGTAAACAAATGTTGAACTTCATATGAAACACTTGAAAGTACTGGTGAAATGAAACTGATGATGAAATTTTGCCTGTGTTTGCACAGGTTCTCTGACCTTTGAAATTTATTTTCTCTCGTTCCCATGGGAAAATGTTTTCGGTGTTATTTCAGGCAATTATTTATGTATTTAGCTTTAAGAAAATGTAAAAATGACTGTAAAATACTTAAAATTATTCTGCTACCAGAGGTCTATCTTTTTGTCGAGGGTCGAGGGTCCCATGTCGAGGGTCGAGGGTTGAGGGTAATATATTTTTTATTGGTGTGAAGCGGTAGATTGAAGTAACTGATGAGCTAAACTGAAACTAGAGGCAATAAGTGGCACGATTGCTGAACAAAAACGTACTGAAAAAAAATCTTACGATTCTTGTGATTCGTTAACCACATCATGGTCGACGACTTTTAAAATTTTAAATCAAGTGTAACGCACATAGGGAAAATGTCACGCACATCCGAATCCTACATACCGGCCCCTAAATGGGAACTTTACTTTACTTTGTTGAGTTTGTTGCATGTACAATAAAAAAGAAAGAAAAGAAAATAGCATCAGCAACTGGAGCAGAAGACAGGACGATGTCCCAGTTGATATTCAACCCCAATAAATATTAACAAAATAGTAATAATAATTATAATCGTAGAGGCAGTAGTAAAAGTAGAAATAATCATCATATAAGTATTTAAACTTAGTTGGGTGATTTTAACAGGAAAACGTGAGTAATATATTGAAATCATGGTTAATTTGTGCACCCCTCGACCGATGCATCGGTCGGCATATCGACCGATACTCGACCGATACTCGATACTCGATATGGCGATACTCGATATGTCGGTCGACATATCGACCGATACTGATATCGGCCGAGTGTCGGTCGACATATCGACCGGCTATCGGCAGATAAATCGGTCGATATAGCGCCCGAGACTCGGCCGATACTTTGACCATTGATTGTGGGCGGAATATCGGTCGACTGTCGTATGATATAAGTCAAAAGCTTGGATTGCTAGTGTCAGATGTATAAGTTATGCGCATTTCATCCTTTTTTAGTCAGCCTTAAAAATTTCTGAAGGCTTTATGTTCGGATCATTTAGCCACTGTCAAGCAAGGCGCCCAAGTGAAATACTGCCAAATACACAAAATACAGTTGACAGGAAAAAGGATAAGGACGATGAGGGATAACAAGGTGCTGGAATAGAACTGATGAAAGACACGCAAGTCTTGAATTTGCCCATGCATCGCACTAATGCTTTTGCTGTTTTTTTGATTTTTACATTACCTTGCCTGTGGGAGGGGTTACTGAACGACTCAAAATTTAGGAGACTTACGCAAGCATTTGACAAAACAATCAAGATAAAAAAATCAAAAAAAGCGAATACACGTTTAGGCAACTTTTTCACACCGCCATAGCTGTCGTAGTATCTGGCCTTCACTGGTGTAATCCGTTTGATTTTTTCAGGTATGGAACGGGGCTGGGTTTCAGCCTTGCGCGCCCTGTCAACGAGTCGTACTTGTTGTTAAATAATTCTACTGAGGCTACGCTTGTTTTCTACATGTTCTCTAACTTGTACTTCTTGGTTGGGTATATTCAAGAAGATGGGATAATTGTCCTCTGTTAAGAAAAATTGTCTAAGTCAAGTTCTAGAATAATCTAGAACCGGAAGTCATTCAACCGTGACCAATTTGTATAAGAACATTCCAGAACATTCTGATCCTTATGTAATTACTCAGATTAGAAACTGTGTCAAATTACTAAATTTAGCTCCTAATAGAAGTTTCTAGAACTTTAAGCCTCATGTATATTAGAGCGAGAGGTTCATCTGCAAGAGAGATTGATTCAAATTTGAAGAAGCTTAGTGCTGTAAATTCGCGAAGTTACCTTACGGAAATAAATTAGTTTGTTGCTGTTACCAGCGATCCTGAGTTCTGTCTAGAAACAACCCTGCTCTACAACGATACTCGTAACATGGGGGGCCTGTCCGGGAGAGCAGAAATTTGTTTGCTGGACTGCCGTAACCAGGAAAGGTACAGGACAAGCGTGGTAGAGTGGGTTTGGTGTTCTGTGTGAACCGATTTCGTGTAAAAGAAGGTTTCGCTGTTATCCTGTGTGGACATTTCTTGACTGTGTGTCATACTCTGTTATCCTGTTTGGACATTCCCAGACTGTGTGTTATATGATATGGAGAAGTTTGTTGAGTTAGGCAAAACGTTTGCCCTGGAAGGAGCTGAGCTGCTTGCATTTGTGGCGAAGCGTAGAGAGGAAGAACGGGAGGAGAAACGTAGAGAGGAAGAACGAGAGGAGAAGCGTAGAGAGGAAGAACGAGAGGAGAAACGCAGAGAGGAAGAACGAGAGGAGAAACGCAGGAGAGAAGAAGAAGAGAAAGAAGAGAGATTGAGGATAGCAGAAGAGGAGAAAGTGGAGAGACGTAGAAGGTAAGATGAGGAGAAGGAAGCGCGACGACAAGAGCGAGAAATAAGAAAACTACAAATGGAGACTGAGCTTCAGAGACAGAAAGTGGAAATCGAAGAAGCCCAGAGAAGACATGAGTTAGAAATGAAACGTTTAGAATTGGAACAGACCCATCAGGGGCCAGGTGTTCAAGCATCTAATAAAGAGGACAAAGCGAAAGCTCCTAACCTTCCCTCTTTCGTAGATGGAAAAGATGACTTGGATGCTTATCTTCAACGATTTGAGAGATTTGCAACCACTGCAAAATGGATAAAGCTGAATGGGCTACCAAGCTGAGTGCTTTACTCTCGGGCCGAGCGCTAGATGTTTACTCCCGCCTTTCAGAAGAAGCAGCCTCAGATTATGGCAAGATGAAGATAGCTCTTATGAAAAGGTATGATCTTACAGAGGATGGTTATAGGCGTAAATTTAGGGTCTCAACGCCTGAGACTGACGAGAGTCCAGA